GGGGGGGGGGGGGGGATACCATTGGGGGGGGGGGGTCGGTGAACCGAGAACCGGGATCATATATATATATATATATATATGCATTTGTCACACACACACACGCATACATGTATCTCTCCCTCTTTATATATGTATACATTACGTATCTTTGTGTATATGTTTATATAGATATGTATATATGTATCTATGTATACATGCATATGCGTGCAGGTGTCATGTGTTTATGCATGTTCATATGTATATATATATATATGTACACACATGTACATACTAACATCTACCCATCAGCCGACCAATCTATGCATCTATCCGTTTGTTTATCTATCCATGTAGCTCTCTCTCTCTATGTATGTATGTACATATGTATGTATGTATGTACGTATGTATGTATGTATGTATGTATTTCCGTATGTATGTATATATGTATGTGCGTATGTAAATATGCAAGTACTCAAGAAAGTATGTATGTATGTATGTACGTAAGTACTGTATGTCAGTAAATCAGAATGAATGAATGTATGTATGTATGTATGTACGTAGGTATGTAATGTAATAATGTTATGTGATGTAATGTGATGTATTGTACTGTTCGTCGAGACCCAGGGCCCAGGCAACCTAGCCCAGTCCTTGTACTCCATCGGGGAGAAGTGGCACAAGACCTCGTCCATGTTCCGCTTTGTGGTTGGGTGGAGGATGTGCAGAGCACAGCGCAGCCGGGTCTATACATGTCCTCCTCTTTTCATAGCAAAGACGACGTCTTTGCATCGAAGAAGGTGAAAAGTGAAGTGTTTCTGTATATACTTACCTACACACACACATGTATATATATATATATACATATGTATAAGCCTGGGTAGAACACGAACGCAAAGTGTGAGTATGTGTGTATATCATATCGTTTAGAGATACACAGACTTACATATGTACATATAAGAATCTGTATGTATATATGTATAGCCGTATGTTTGTACACTTATACAGTGATATTATTATCATGTTGCCATCACCATCACCGCTACTGCTATCACTGTGGGTGCTGGTACCAGTACCGCCACCCATACTTGTACTAGTACTAGTTCATTTCTGCATCTTCTGCCATTGCTGCTGCTGCTGCTGCTGCCGATGCTACCGCTGCCGCTGCACGACTAGAGCAGCAAGACTCACAACGTTGCCCGTGAGGATTGCATCTTAAACCATTCATCTTGGAAGGAGCTGGTGGCGAGAAGTGCCCGCAGCAACTGAACTCATCACAAGTAATAAAAACGTCCACCACGGTAATGCCAGTCCACGGAGGTGTGCTGCGATGGCTTCCGGCAGGCCCAGGGCAGCAATCCGAATCGAGAAAATTTTGCTAACAGGGCCTCAACGATGCACCCTCAGAAACACCGCTCATGATTATGATATTTCAATTTACAGAAACATGTTGTGTGCAACGGGGTTTATCGAGCTTCTTGCCTTTGTTCTCTTCATGCCTTCTTACTTTTGTACGCCTTGTGAATGGTGTTTGTGTGCGTGGCCTTGGCTGCAGTGTCGTATTTCAGCATGATTGTATCAGTGGTTTGACCACATTGGCCGTGAGTATTTCCAGTGGCTTCTGTCCGTGTTGTTCCCAGCAGTCCCAGCAGTGCTGTACATGGAGTCACATGGAGTCTAATCTATCTGGTACTTAGCTTTCCGGAGTCGTGCCTGCTTCTTCGCACATGACTCGGCAGTGTGCGTTTTCATATCAGCTTTGCATTGGCATATTCCTTTCTCTTCCTGTTCTCTGTGTATAGTATTACTGCCGTCACCCGTTTGTGTTCCCACTATTTGTTGTGTCAATGTTGCAGAAGAGGTCCGTGTGCACGTTGTTGGGGAGAATCATGCAGAACCTTCTCGTGCCACAGTTGATGGTTCACAGCTTCCGGGGAGCACTTTTCGTCAGAGCCTTACTTCGTGCACAGGCTGCCAGCAAGGGAATTGTAGCCCCAAAGCCCGAGGAGGAACCCCACCAATTGATTCGTCATGTCACGAAAGGAAAACCTCGGACAAAGCCCACACAACACAGCTCTCTAATTCCTGTTGCAACCTACCAACCTGTGAAGCCCCGGATGACTGAGGTTGACTGCCTTGTTTGCACTGCGACGGTTGGTTTAGGCCCGCTGCCGAGAAGGGAAGCTGTACGGTGCAGTCTCTTCGTAGACTACATGCGCTCTCCCGTCTCTTACGGCCTAAGCGAGGAATCTCGGCTGGACCTCCAGGAGAAGGCTGGGCACTGGCTCTGCAAGGAATCTTCGCTCCAGGGCTCAGAGCTAGGAGGTGCACACGTTGCTCAGTACCCCTGTGCGCAGAACCTTTAGCTGGCTCCCAGCCGCTTCCACCAATCAAACTTGCAGTTTCTCAGGGAAAGCAGTTGGGGAACTCCTCATAATTTGTTGGTGAAACCACAATATCAATATTCATCAGACACTACCACGACGAAGCCGCCGACCGACGACGACGACTACGACTTCTGCAGCTGTTTCTGGTACTACAATCTACTATTGGTACTACTTCTCTGATCAGGGCAGGTCTATGATAACGACATGGGGCTGCGAGCCGTAGAATCCGTAGAACCATTGAGCATTGCAGGATGTGTGACGCATGTTTCCAACTTGGGGCGGGGCCGTTGCTCCATAAAGCCCCCGTCCCGGATTTTTGCTGCGAAGCCATTAAGCCTAAGTATGCCCCAAGCCAGGCCCGAACATCCCGTACCCTAGACCCAACGACGGCCAGAAAAGCGGACGTGGTGGTCGCTGTCGTTTCTGGCAAGCACACACGTGTTCCGTCTGCTGGTGGCACATTAGAGACTTTAGAGTTATTGCTTCGAGATTCCAGGTGCAATCGCTGAGCAAGCAAACCATGAACCTTGAGTGCTATATGTTAACGCAGTGCTGCGGCGAGCTCTGAATGCAACCCAAACCTCGAAGAGCAGGACCTCCACATATGGTGGTGTCATGGAAGTTGGGCTTATGGTTGGCATTTGGGTGCGGGTGCAGGTATTGAGGTTTTCGCCGGTTTGGGTCGTGCTGCAGGATCTTCGGGTCGTGCAAGTTTTCTTGGGAAGGTTTTTCCAAAGAGAGGGACCCTTGGATGTCGCTTGCAACTAAGTCGCCGGAACCCGTTTACGAACCTGAACAGGATCATCAAGCTGGTTTGCTTGCGGTGACATCCCAGGCTGCTTGTCGTGCCTGTCCAAAGGGGACACCAGCAAGAGCCAGGACAACTTCAAAAGGTAGCGGCTTTTCAAGCACGGGGTTTAGCTGAGGTGCAGGGCTTTCAGTGTTTCGGACCCGGGTTCTTCTGGCCAGGCAAATCGCTTATGTCTCGGTGACAGTTCTCAACGGCATGTTCATGGTCAGCGACTCAGAGAGGAGAAAGACGTCCTGGGACCAGTGATGCCGTTGTGGGGATTCACTGGACGGCCGCCGGCAATCATACCCTGATGAGTGGACGTCGCGGTCCCACAGGCTATCGGCATGGATGCTCTGGTGAACGAACATTGGTCCCGCTGGACAACGGCATAGATTCTGGGTATAGGATACCATCATCGTCAAGCTTCTGCTCAATGTCAGAGCAGTGTGGCAGCAGCAGCAGCAGCAGCA